GATCATGAATCCGACTCGCGCTTGGTCGGATGGGAACTGGGTCGTGTGCATTCTCATGGCCAAATTGCACTGGCTGACAAAAGTTGTGAATTTGGAGCGATCTCCGTTATCCTGTCTGGGGGAGGTATGCTCAACGCAGCCTGTACTTGTGGGATGATACGCTCCGCGCGCAGGGCAGCGATTTCGTTCTGCATGTTTTGAATGACATTTTGGAGAGCTTCCACGTAGTTTTCTATGACGAGAATTTAAGTTGGAATAGTAGGTAAAGAGAAAAGAAAACAAGAGTAAACGAGCAGGTGGTTCAAGAAAATATGAGTTTTATCAATGTGTTACCTGATTCCAACTAGTACAAGCACCTGGTCTTTGCCCCGACTTCCTTCTCGATTTTATAGTCTCTAACACAATGGCTGAATAGCCAAATTATAAAATATTGCAGTATTTATCCAAACTTGATATGATTTTCGTAAAATTTGATAATCTAAAACAGGATCAAGAGATTAGCACGCTACCCTATCCAACGCACTGTTCAAGACAATGGTAAATACAAATAGTAATCCATTCACCTTTTGTGGGCATTTGGTATTGGCTACTTTACTGGATACAACCGTCTTTTTGCCATTTTTCCAGTTGATGTAAACAGCAAGATCATCTTCACCTGTGGCAGATGCTTCCATAGTTTCGATATTTACAACATCGTTTTCCCACGAGGCTTTGTCAAGTACAGCCCGACTTAACGAGTCAATCGAATGATAGACTTTGCTCAGGTCGTCTTTTAAAACCAAGTTTAGTCAATACAAATAAAAACTATATCAGTGCTAATATTCTTGATATATGTCTTCAAGTGATCACGCTTTGAGTTGGATTGACAAAAATGGCAAATATATTGCAGTGGATGCGTACCTTGTTCATCAGTATCAACAGTATCCTGTTTTGTGAATGAGTCCGACTCTGAATTTCTTTTGTTGCCTGGTTTGGATTTTTGGGATTTAGTCTTGTTTTTAGCTAAACACGGTTGGCATAGTATATGCATTAGTCTTACTAGACATGGGCACATCGGGATACACGGAAACCATCAAGCCCATCACAAATCATATCAAACACAAAAAGTTGCAGACAACAGTACACACCAAGAGTGTTTTTTTGAGACTGTTATTTTTGATGGACAAGTAAACTAGAATTAGTCAAACTCGTTTCAAACGCATACTATTCATAAAAACAACACTGTATGATGTATTACAGGCACCTTGAGTAATTTAGTGTTGGTATCCAATTCATGGGTAGATTCGGACAATTTTGTGGCATTTTTAAATTTTGGATGCTGACTCCAAAACTTTTTTATTAATATCGGTGCCTGAACCAATGATCAAAAACGGGTTAGATTACTCATCCATTTGGTACAACAATGCATGCTACACTTACATTTACCACATCTATATGTTGTCACAATGGCACAGGTGATTAAATAAACAATGTCAGTGAAATTCACTGCAAGAGCATACTTGTGGAACAATTGATATTAAAACTGTGCAATGTTCAAATCATTGGATAGTCATGAGCAATTTGAGCATGCAGTAGACTACATGGCTGCAGACATTATCTGCTTGGCAGACATTTGAACAAAAGGTGTGTTTAGAGTTCATGTGTTGTAGATTGGAATAACATACCAGCTGATTCCCAGGTGTTTTCTACAGACGCATAACCCTTCCATTTGATAAAGAATTGCTCTTTTCCCTATTCGGACAATAATATATATCAACAACGAATAGTCGTAGTAAAAAGAGGCTGGAAGGTTAGAGTAGTTGTATTGGGGTGTAAAATGAACTGAAACAAAAGGCAATAAACAAGGGTTGGTATGCTTGTCGAGAATGAGTCGAGTGTTTAAGCAGGATGTCAATAGTCCAGTTTACAAAACTCGGATGGTTGTAGTACTGCTGTACAAGGTATGTGTTGAAGCAATACAGCCATCACTCTATGATAAGCATCAACATGTGTTCTTTATCATTGACGAATGTCCAGTGTGGTTGATATGCAGACTGCCATTCATAATAGTATAACCAGCAGTATGTATTGACAAGGTTGTAGAAACAGTTGAACTGCCTGTAAAAGCAACCCCACACACCTTATTGATTCTAAAATCAACAATAGCCTCGACCTCATACACTTCATCGTCTAATGCTCGTTGTCGTTTTCTTGACTTTTGTTTTAAGCCCATCTGAGTTTGAATGCAAACTCGTAACATTCACGCAAAATCAAACACTTTATTTTGCACCAATTGTATTGCACTCTTGCTGTTTTGGTAGATTATATCAATTAAGATACTCTTGAATATTTGTGACTAGTTTACTGTGTTGTTTCAAGCCAAGATAATCTATTGTGAATTCAAACTATTTCTACCAATTATCATGTCATTGTTCAGCCTGCTGAATGCCATTTTGATTACTCTTTAACTAATATTATCAATTCTACACATGACTGACATTCAACGTTTGCTTGGTTTGTGGCAATTTGCATTATATAGCAAACACTATGGATCCGACTCAAACACTTGCCAATCTCAGCACACAGATGAGTGCATATTGTTCAAACCCACCAACATCACCTAATCAAAACCCATTGCATAACAATCACATGGCAATACCACAAGATCCAATAATCGCAACAGATCCAGTCCTGGTACAAAGCATAGTCCCAGAAACCATGCACTTTGTCAACTCAGCCAATACTGCTGATTTGCATGCCGAAATGTGTAATTTGGATATTGATGCTGCGTTTGGAAACGGTTTGGATAAACTGACAGTATTGTTTCGTCAGGCTATATTGGTAATCAAATATCATTTGGGTTGTTCCTAGATCTTGCCATGTATTACATTTATATGACGGTGTTGATTTACACCCAACCATAACTCGTGTGTTTTTAAATGGTCATCAAATCTGTAATATGGTCTGGCAACATGTCTAACTGAGTCAACACCAATGATATAAACAGGCCGATTATACCATTTCAAGAAACAGGATAAACGAGCATCACAAAGCAGAACTCAATAGTATACGACAAGCACATGAGTTGGAACTAGATGGCTTGAATGGCAAGATGGATTCTGTGATCAAATCTCGAAATCATAGCGACAAAAAACTGGTGGATTATGTTCAAGTAGTTAATGCAGCAACAGCTTTCCTAACCCGCAAGGTATTTTGACAATTATTTGGTTGTGTAGTTGCAACCAATCCAATAATATACCCAAACTTGTATCATGAGCAAAGTTGAGGATCTGTAGATTTGCACACGATTATTTTAAAATGTGATTTATTGTATTGGTATCTACGTTAGCGCAATCGACTTGCAACTGAAAAATGGTTCGGTAGGTGGAAAGTTAGGCAGATGGAGCTGAGGAAAAGAAAATTTGCAATGCATATTGCTGCTCGACATCATAGGAAAACCATGATGCAGAAAGCTATATTGGGATGGCATTCTGAAGCTGGAGTAACGTGGCGAAAGGCAACTGAAAACAGAATCCGAGTACGTCTAGTCAATTGGGTTTGTGAAACTTGATGTATGATGTTTATTAATTTGAAATCTAATATTCCAGATGGAAGCAGAAAAGCATATGCAAACCATGTCGGCCGAATATGAGAGTCGTATTGCACAGGTATGTTTTGATATGGATGTACTATTTTAATAAATCTACTAGCACAAAACTACCATGATGCATCGGAAATTCAAATTGCAGTCTACTAGTAGTTTGTTGAACAACTAGTTTAGTTTATGTAAATCAGTGAATGCCAAAAATACGTTGTATATTTAATCCATTTTGAATTCAAATTTGATATATGCAACGTAAATAGTTGTCCAAGAAACTCAACAAAACCCAATTGCAGTTACATTTGTCAATAGAAAAGCAGCACATACAGCAGGAAGACATGAAACGAAGTTTTTTGCGTGGTGTGTGCGCATTGAATATGGAAACTATGGGAATATTTCGTCAAGATGAGATGCATTGTTCAGAAAGCGTACAAAAACAGTTGAACTATCCAATTACAAACATGACTGTCGAATGCAATCAGTCTAGTAAACCTACTGTCCGGTTTATTAGTGATCCTGCAGCAGTACCCGACATTGCATGCGAGACACTTGCAAAAGAAACTACAGATTGTATTTCTAGTAGAACTCGTGGATTGGTCACTCGGCATTATAATTGAAAATTATCAGAATAAACGAGATGCAGCAAGCTTTTTCATACTGCATCGATCTTGCATTTCTATTGATGGAATTGATAATTTCAAGCAGTTATTTGGATGAAATGGGTTAAATTCACTCGATCAGAATGATACATGAACCACAATGGATGATCATGTCATTCAAATCAGCACACAATCTACTGATATATGCAATACAACATCAAGAAAACACACTTTTAAACTAAACAACCTGATTGCAGTAGGCTGACAACATTTGCCAGCATATACGCTTGATAGGTGCAGTGTAACAAGTTGAACCCATTTCACTTGAATCATTATTCGGTACAGATTTATGGATGGATCAAGGACACGAAATGAAACAGTTAAACTTATGATCACAATGTTTGAGTTGGTGCCGAATCTTGACATTGATGTCACCATTAGTTACAACGAATACTGCATTGTCTGTTTGATTCTGCTGAGCAATGCTGGTAAGTATGAAACAATTAAAATCTGACCACCAATAAAGATGGCGACGCAAGCTTGTAGCCTACAATTAAATCTGCAATTCACAAACCCTTCTACTCAGACCCCAAAAGAACACTAGATTTGGTGGTGGAAGTTGCACAAGTAACAATCAAACCCAATCACAAACGTGGTGTTGAATCCAATGCATGCGAGTACTTTTTAAACACATGATACACACTGATGGTGATGGTTGCTGACAGTCATATTGCAGTGTACATGTCCAATAGTGTCCACTGTCATGTCGATTGTTGCTATTCGTGACATCCAACTGTACTTGTATTCACCAAATGTGCACAACATCTAGGGCTGACTGCTAGATGCTCTCATGTTTGGCATACAACTAGTCACCATCAGACCAAGCGTATACGCTAGTACAGCGCCATGAATCTATTGGCAAGTGGTTTCAATTTATTCTGGCGCGTTGAGGGTTGGATGTGTACTAGACACAATGTTGTGGATATAACTGAGCCACAACAGGGTGATATCATGCATAATGGTACGGCCTGTATCTGTTTGGTAGATATGCAAACATATATATGACAGCCCAATCCGTCCTTTATCACGGGTTGGTTTTAGAAACGTCTGTTATTTTGGTTGATACATGTTTCTTGCATAGATTGGTAGTATTGTATGTATTTAGTTTGATTACATTGTAAACAGTCTGGTTGATTACTCATTCACTGCTAATAACCCGTTTGTACAACAGAATCGATCATTTGCTCAGTATCAAGGCGATTTTTAATCAAAGTAATGGCTGGATTATACAATGCATACCAGACTCCATCAGCCATATTTATGGGAATTGCTTTTCATGAAGTCATCTCTGCGTTATTTTTTATTGCTACACGACGTAGACCACTTCATACTGCCATCGACCTCATAGCGCTGGTCTCATTGATAGTTTGTGCTGGCCAGATTTATGTGCACACATTATTGATTGATCAGTCCATTTCACCGGAAACCACTGTTGAAAACTGGGTCGAGTGGTTGGCTGCATCTGGATATTTGCTGACGTTTTTGACAAGTACTGGCGTGGTAAGCTTATTTGTTTGAACAGACATGCTTGAATGGTGCAGTATTTTGATTGACTGATTGCATGAATCTGTATGATGTGTATGATTGGCAATAGCTTATTTTGATGGTTGCTCGACTTCGAGTATTCCACAAAGGAACGCCTGTTTTTTGGATTATAACAGCTGGAATAGTTGCCACGTTTTGCGTGTCAGCACTCACTGGTGCATTTGGCATATTATCGTATCTTGAGCTCATCAGAGGACAAGCTGTCATTATTTCAAAAAGTGCATTACTTCATGTAAGCACACATGTATATTTGAATCGACTCGAGTATATTGAATTCAAGTGTTGGGTTTAACTTTCTGACATGATTTTTACCTGTTTCCCATTCAGTACTCTAGTCTGCTTTTTGCAATCAAATGCATATTTGAAGGTATAATATCGGCAACTTCATCACTCATATTTCTTTGGACAATCAGTAAAGGCACTGGCGTGCACAGATCCGAATTCATCAAGCAGTTGTTTTTAAAGTATGAAGGGTTCCGTTTTGTCGTTATTTTTGTCCTTAATATTACAATGGCAGGGTTTGCTGTACATTCAGCCTATACGGGTGAGCCATTTGTAGCCTATACAGCCTGGTTCTTTTCTCCCATGATGTATGGTTTAGAAATCTACACGTTTTTACTGGTGAGTTTTGTTGCACCATCAGATATACTAAGAGCAAGACACGATTCGTCTAGTGATGATGGTTTGCATGGAACTGCTGCTGAACATGCTGGTTGTTGTGCTATTGATATTACACCCAAAGCCAAGGTTGAAATGGCCATTCGTAATATGATAATGGGTCAAGATAAATAAACTACAATATTAATGCTACTGAATTGAATTCAAACATCAAAAATACACGTAGCAGCACAGTTGTATACCCGAATGCTGTTTAAAAGTATCCAAAACAAACATGCATTACATGGCCAGAATCGTGCAAACAATATGCAAGTGCATCAATAGTTTGGAAAACTGCAGCATTCAAGTCTAGATGCAATCGAATATAACAAATCAGTATCACTCGAGTTTAAACACATTTAAACTTTGCATTCATTCTGAACTCATTCTGAATTCATTCTGCACCAAGACCACTACGCTCAGTTCGTATAACAACCTTGACAGGATCAACGATGCCTTTGTTTCCTGTGCCCAGCGACTGTCCTGGATTCCATCCCATAGCAAGCAGCATTTTATGACCAACGTTTTCATTTCCAATCGGTTGGCTAGATTCACCCACAACATGACCTTGTTTAACAACAGTATGTTTGTGATGTGGGTCTTTTTTCATACCGGTTTTGTGCGACCGTTTCATTTTGCTGTCTGGCGACATTCTGGGTTTTCTAGCAACATGGAGTTTGACAACTGAGCCAGTAAATCGGTCAGCAATCTCGCCAATCTCGAACAGTTTTTCACGCATGATCTCATTTGGTATTGTCCGCCACGATTCAGGCACACACGTTGTTCGTGTTGTATAAGCCTCGATATACTTTGATCTTGCTTTGCCCATTGTCTTTGGACGCATTTGATACCGCTTGACAAGGATCACTGCAAATTTACGTACATCACTCATCATGGGTGGAAGTGACAGTTGTCCATACTGCGGTTTAGCCACAACAAAATCATGGACCATTTTGTTGATGGAGTGCAGAAATAGTTTAATGACTGCATTGAACTGTGTTGGGTTGCGGCTATTGGAGAGCTGAGCGTCAAAAGTACGACCTTGAGCAGTCAAGTCATGATGGCGGCTTTTTACATGTTGTTTGGCTTTGCGACGATCGTTTTTGCGTTGTGTTTTGAGTGCTGATTTGGATATTTTGGAGGCTTGCTCAGCAGATACAGATCTGGATGGTTGTGTGAAATCACCATTCAGAATCTGCTGAAATCGGAATTCTGCATGACGATCTAGCATCAATTGACTGTTTGCATGCGTATTCATGGATTCAATAGTATCAATTTCATCACTGCTGGTTTCGGATTGACTATCGCATGACTTTCTCCACATGCGTCTAGGTGATCCATTTGACCAAGTCAAAGGACTGTTGCTGAGTGTGCCTTGCAAATACCTCGACTCTTGATCAATATCAAACACTGTTGCAGTGCGATCATTTACAGAATCAATGTATCCATCAACGGATATATCCGAGTCATTGCTGTGTATGGACTCGGAGTATTCACTGTCAGTATCGGTTTGGCTGTCATCATCACACAAGGAATCCGAGTCGCAGGCTTGACTCGACATAAACGATTGTTTTGCATGGCGTCCAACTCTGACAGTATCATTCATAGTATCAACATCATGCAACAGATTTTCAAGGATTCCCGACTCGAACTGATACAAACTTGAACTCTGTTGCACAATAGGCGAATGAGGTTTTGGTTGTAGCGACTGCTGTTGAACAGACTGACCAGTTTGTCTTGATTGACGAACCAATGGCTGTTCATCACCCAATGACATGGATGAAATACCCGACACAGGGTATGCAGTCCAATCATCATCACCATCGACATTGTCAATATAGTCTTGGATAAACTCATCATCGCTGCTGTGACCAAGATGATGCAGCTTGACATTGGACTGAACAGACTGGGGCTTTCCCTTGGATCCAGTCCTACCTTTTGGTTTGGGTTTATTTCTAGTTGTATCGAGTGGTTTGGACCGAGTTTTTTGACGATGCAAGTGTCGAGTGGTAGTGGACTGAGAGGGATATGCATGCTTGACCACAGGTGTTTGTGGTACAGTGGATGCTAGTGATTGACTGGGTTTGTATGTATTGTACAAATCTCTGTCAGCATTAGTATCAATATAAAATCCTGACATGAATGATTCTAGTGGTGTAGTTTCAATTGTTGCAAATACAAAACAACATTGAATTCAACATTGTGTTGCATATGAAGCCAGTCATATTAAACCAATTGCTGCAAAACAGGTGTTGTGAAGCTGCTTGAACATTTGTCAATTTTAGTAATCGACTGGATTGTTGAATCGATAAAACCAGTCAGCTTATTAGTCAAATCTATCAACTACAATGTTGAATATATTCAGAAATACAGTCGGATATCAAACCCAATTGTCAGAGTGGTGTAACAAGTGTTTATAGCTTACCAACACTATAAAATCGATTGTTACAAACTAGGCGTGTATGCAATATGAAATATCAAGGTGCAAGCATTATAGTATATGTTGATTGCTGCTATTCGTGATATCCAAACTAGACTGCAATCAATGTTGCTTCAAAATATACGTAAATCATAAACTGCAATACTTTTGCATGTCATTCGACTTTTACTCGATATTTGTAGAACTGCTGAATCATCTTCAGTGTAAATCAACAGCATTTTTATGATGGCAAAATAGCAAAAGATGTGCTCCGAGTGAGGCTTGAACTCACGACCTCGAGATTATGAGACTCACGCGCTGCCAACTGCGCCATCGAAGCTTGTTTTTCAGAACTGTATATATAATAAGTAGTTTATAAAATAATTTTTTCAAAACGTGGTTTGGGTTACAAATTGCCAATGATAAAGGCATGAAAAACATAGGTAGAATAAAACATACCAACAACCATCTACAAGTATATCAAATCATGACTCATGAAATGCGTGCTACACGAGTATCAATAGGCTGGCATTCATTCCATGATATTGCATAATACTCTACAATATTTGACAATCAACACCAGATGCGCGATATCAACAGTGCAATATGGTATACTGCTGCAAGTATCGCAATGACTGCTCGTAATTTTTGAACGAGTCGATCTGGTCAGATCTGATATCAACACACATGACTATTGTTGGTATTAGTATGTCATGTGTCAATACGACATGTCAAGCAAGCTGTATTGTATTGGAAATACAAGTGTCGATGTACACTATGATACAATGCATATAAAATCAGTTTCAAATGCCAAATATCAAATTGCAATTGTATTATATTTTATTCAAGCAAAAATACAGTAAATACAGTTGAAATCAGTCCAGATTAGCAACCAAATCAATTGGATGAATCGTCATCTCTGAATTGATCCAAGAGTGATCCAACTTTGCTTATAATTTTAGAAAAAAATTTACGTACACGAGAACGTTTGGAAGATGTTTGTGTACTCGAGGATGTTCGAGTGCGTTGGACTGCAGGCGTTTCATTTGTTGATGGGGATGGACTTTGATGATGTTGTAATGCTTGATGTGATGGACTATGGGTTCCACTAATAGAGGCTTGATCGGATTCCGACTTTTGACTTAGTACGGGACTGTGAGGTGCGTCAAGCTTCGTGTGATAATCAGTTGTTTTTAGATCCGAGCTTTTCTCGAGCAGACTCTCTGCGAGTAGTGTTTTGGCTCCACCAGATTTCCAACGAAGCTGAGAGCTATTTAAACAAGACTTTGTACACTTTTTTTCGAGGTCGGAAAGAATGAGATGTTGGGCTTGAAGTTCAAATTCGAGCTCCTTAAGCTCTTTCTTATGTTTGGAATTCTTGCGTTTCCAAGATTTTTCGCTTAAATGCCGATATTCTTCAAGTAGCCATTCTATCAGTTTTTCTTGACAAAGTTTTTCAAATTTTAGCAAGCTATGGGTTTTCTCTGCTTTCTCATAGGCTTCCTTCGTCTCTAGGTAATCTTTGGTTGAATCAATAGCATTCTCGGACACTTCATTAGGACCAGCCGAGTTTGTGACTTTTGCGTTGGAGATTGTTGAAGAGCTAGAATAAGTAGTTGCAGTTGCAGTGGGGAGAATTGGACTGGCTGTAGTAACCGAGCAAGTAAACAGGATTGATGTCAATACAATTAGGAATTTCATTATATTGGTTTGGTTATGAGCAAGTTGTATATGATTGTCGTTTGACAAGTGAATTTCGGATCATATTTATATTTGTTATCGATGGACAGTATTGAAAGCATGTTCCCGAGTGACCACCCTAAGGGTTGGTATTGATTTATTACTATCGATTTGGAGATGATCCAAAAAAGATATTATTTTATATAATGTTCCGCAATCTTGGTTATACTATTGTCTGCTTATGCACTCGTGTATTGTATGGTTAGTTTGTTATGCAATCTATTCTTTTTCCACCCTAAAAAGGGCTAGTGTGCTAAAATATAAGAATATAAACATAGACTCGAATAATTCTGCATAGCCTATATAAGATGGCTTTGATATTCAGTCGTTAGATGACCATCAATGTTTGCTGTGATGTTTATGCTTTTTCAAATGACTCAGTTGATTGGCATAGTTCAAACATGTGGCTTTGTGATATTTTGCATTCAATTTGACATGATCAGTCATCACCATTAGACACTAATGCGAGACATTAATAGTGTATTCCCCTTGTAATGTGAGAGTGTTGGGATGTGTATGTTTGGACTGACAGTAGACATTTCTGAATGGTTTGCAGTAACCAGAAACCATCAACAATGATGTTTAAACTGGGATTCACATAGTTTTCTTCTACTGTTCTCTCATCTTGTAAACACTCTTCCTGTTTTTTAATAGATGACGCAATCAAATATTGATTCATTCCTTCATGTCTTTGATTTACTGTGATATACTTTCCAATAATGACAACTATCGATATGCCATCATATGCTCACGATCCTCAGTTGTGTTCATCAAACACACAATGCAGTCAATGTGTAGTAGCTATTGTATATTGCAATTCAAAACACAGTTATTGCGGGACGAATATCAAAATGATCCATTTTACACGAATATGGTTGTAAAAGGGTGCGTTTACAAGACTACACAACACTCAAGGGGTGTATTTTTCAAAATACTTGATAAAAGGGTCGTAAAAGCATAATACGGTACTATGAATAGGGAGCAGTATACTGTCTAGTATGATGGTAGCCTACAACAAACAACCAAGTAGCCCTGTGTTGTTGATTAACCTAAAAGGGTTGGTTTACTATACAAAAATATAAATACGATGAAATATGTCCAGTTTTATAATCAACATCGATCTTGAAAATCTGCCCATCTAACAATCTTTTAAACCCATCCAGCAATCTAATGAAGTTCATTGACATTTTATTCGTACTGAGCGCGGCGGCAACCGCTAATGCAATACTGGTTTCAGATAACGGCAATGGTTCAGTCCAGGCATCAAGTACTTCTAGTCAAGTGTCTAGCCCAACCAATGGGCTTGATTCAAGTGCTCCCAAACGAGGTCGGAAACAATCAATGAATCAACCCGGTCCAAGCACTTCCAGTCAAGATCAGCAACAACCAGTGAGCCAAGGCGAGTCGAGTAATACTGTTCCAAATCAAGTGACTGGATTAAGCAAAAAAAAACAGAAAGTCCTTAATCGTATGAAGAAAAAACTTGAGTTGCTTGAAAAAATGGAAAGGAGCATGACCCAAAACTATTATGATTATGTATCTATTGGATTAAAAAAGAAGAGAAGGTTAAGACAAGGCAAAGATGTAACAACTTTTAAACACAGCCTAGAAGTTGAAAAGCAATTCAAAACAAGGACTGAAGAATTAGGAGATGAAGTAGACAAGATCAAAGAAAAGCTAAAAAAGTTTATGACAAAGCATGGTTTGGAATTTCAAGAGTCGAATTTGGACTGATGATGTGATGATTTTGATTTTGAATAAATTTAAGCTTTCTGGTATGTGTTGATATTTGTCGAGTATTGTGAATGGGTCAACAACCATATTATTGATTGTGTACTGCATGTTTGTGTATTACATCAATAGTTACTGGGTTGCTGATTGATACATTGGCATGGTTTGTTCCATATACATCAATGACATGATAGCAACCAGTGCTGATTGTAACTACCAATCGCACTTGCAAGATACCACCAACTGACCATATCGTGCATCGTACAACAAACGGAGCAATACACTTGCTCAAGGTCGGATGTAGATTGCGTCATTAACTGGTTTGATATTGGTCAACTAGTGTTGTATTGTCAGTTTGAAATGTAATATATGCGGTGTGGTATTGGTAGTGTCGTATTGACGTAAATGGACCACCAAATAACACTGTCGGTGTGTGAAATAAACAGCCAGTGTCATTGTTGGTAGTGATTGACATACAAACAACAGTTGCATTACTGATATATGTCATCATTGTTGTTGAACTAGATTGTAATCGTATCTGTGATTCAAAATACAACAGAAACAACAAACGCCGGTTCAAGACTATTTCAGTTTAAATCATAGTTTGTGAGCATCATATCACTGACACTGTTTATAATAATTCATAATGTATATCGAATCAACAGTCAATGTCAAGTACAAAACTACAACCAATATTCAGCATTGTTTATTCCAAACCAACAGTCAATCACTGCAAGATAGTGTTCAACTCTACATGAATGCGATTGTATACCATTTTGGTTTCAGCTGTAAATTTGAGCTATTTCGACTTGTCCAAACTTTGTTTCTAATCTGTGCGATTTGTTGTGGATTCAGTGCAAAGGTGAACAAATCTGATATTTCTACTTGAGATACTGGAGTGTCTTGATTGAATGCACTTTAACAAAACAGTCAATACTCTGCTGTTTTGTTGGATCACATCAATTGATATACTCTTGGATACTTGTGGCTAGTTTACTGTGTTGTATTTGTTAGACATTGATTGTGATCTAGTTGGATGTCACGGATAGCAACGATCGACATGACAGTGGACACTATGGACATGTACACTGCAATGTGACTGTTAGCAACCATCACCATCAGTGTGTATCATGTGTTTAAAAAGTACTCGCATGCATTGGATTCAACACCACGTTTGTGATTGGGTTTGATTTGTATTGTATTGGTGGTGTTGTTTTGCATATATCAGTAGATTGTGTGCCGATTTGAATGACATGATCATCCATTGTGGTTCATGTACCACGATGACAATGTCACTCATTCAGTGTAGCAGCGACAGATTGCCGAGTTTGGTGGTGATCATGTTGTGACACAATCAGCAGTGTTTGACGTATACAGTCTAGATTAATCTAAAATGACCATGCAGTCATACCAATGGAAGAGTCATGGTTTTGAAATACTGCAATAACAGACTGTTTGATGCTGTTGTGTCCGAGTGATCCAAAACACGACCAATTGAACAATCAGTCAAGTATTTGGTATACAGTGACAGTATGTGATGATAACTATCCATAATCAGGGTGACAATCTGATACTACCTGATCACTGCATACATGACCGCAATTGGAGATGAACACAGCATACTACTGAAGTTGATTATGCATCAACAACGATGCTTGTATATTGATTCACCCTACATGGTGTATTTGGGTTTGCTCACCCTACATGGTGTATTTATGTGTTCTAAATACCCATTTGGGAACTGCCGATTGTCACCCTTGAAACTGCCGTCATTATAAAACGGCAGTCATGTATCAGATTCAAACCATTTTCATTATAATACTCGATACAATGCTGATTACTCTAGAATGCATTCTACTTGCGTTACAGGCGGTTTCTGCAGTTCGAGTTGCATTAGATTCACCTTCCGAAATTGACAGTCCATCAAGCAATAGGCTATCAAAGCGATCACCTGTTGAATTGGATGGTGATATTAACAAATGTTACAGAATGAAATTTAATCTTTATGGAGTCAGTGTATGTATCATGTCATGCATTGTAATTTGATATCAATTTGCACCACGTTGAATCAATCTCACACTTGTTTAAAATAGTTGAATTTACAAGTCGATTCAGCGATTTCTGATACGATCGTACCACTTCCTGGTTCAAAAAACAATATAGGTTTGGATATACTAAGTATTACAAGTGGGAGACACGTTACTATAAATTACAAAGGCAAAGAGTATAGAGGAATTGATTTCACAGCCACTGTGACGATTCCGGGTACTAGTATAACTGGCATTGGGTTACCAGTAGTAGCAGTTAAAAAACAATCGCCAGATTCAGTTGGTATCAGTCCAAATTTTGATGGAGTATTTGGGATTGGTTATCCCTCGTTGTCAAAGCGTCGTCCACAAACCACTGTGTTGGATGTTTTGTACAATGATGGTGTCATTTCTAATAACGAGATTGGTCTTCAACTATGTCCGTATGGCATGCGTTCAAAAAGCTTCATCAATATAGGAAACACGGACGTAACTCCAAAATGCGGGACAGATGGAAAAAGTGTTGCATGGGTACAATCACCATCAGACGATCGTCATACTGTCAACATCAAGAGTATACTAATCGATGGCAAACAAGTGAATCTACCCGAGGAATTCCAAAAAAGGGTAAAAGATGGACGTATTTTGTATTCATATATACATACATGCTTTGTATATATGTATTTTCCTGAAGTAGTCGTGGCAGCGTTGGTTGATGCTATTGTTGGTAGTAATGCGATCACTGTCAAAAAAACTAAATCCGAACACAAGCACAAGCTCAGCGAAACAGAAATTGAAAAAGTATTTTGGGAAAACCGTCTAATCCTCAAATCCAAACTTAATATTGATTGGAGCAAGCTGCCGTCGCTTTCAATTACAATGTTTGCTCAAAACCCCGTAACTGATGAAAATAGCAACTCCGTTGTAACAATCAAACTGGGTCCCAAAGACTATATACAGAGAGTCAATTCCAAAGAATGTAAATATTTGACAATTGTATGCAATATGTGTTGTTTGATTAGCCTGACTAATATAATGTTGGATTATAGTTAGATTTACTGTAACAGCTGGTTCAAATGAAAATGCAGCTCTTGGTATATCATTTATGACTCGACTTGCAGTCACATTTGATTTACAAAATGCACGCATTGGATTTGGTCCTGGATGTGGATGCGAAACTGCGACTGATGGATATCCTATTATTTCAAACAGTTATCAAGTACTCTGGCCATTAACACAGTAAGTTGTTTGATATTGATGTGTGAATTGATATTGATATTGATGCATATTGTTAGACTGCCTGAACAACCAAGCGGTTCAAGTTCAGGTGACACATCTACTCTCAGGAGATCATTTTCGCGATTTGGTAGTACTCTCCGTGATAGTATTCGTCGTAGTAGTAGGCGGCTAAAGTTTAATTACAAGAAACTTGATGGCTAAACAGATATATCAATAAAATTGGTTATTTGTTGAATGGATGATGACCATGATTATTTTATAGTTGGTATGATGTACGTTAGGACTCTTGGTGTTAGCAATCATTAACTACAACTGATCAAGTAGTTGTGTCTGAAAACACTAACCACACTGTCAAGAGTCACAAACAGACTCACAATAAACTCGACTGAATACAATTCATTATTAGACAAACTGCTACTATACGTATATTTAATGTGGTGTGTCCATGTTTGATTGTGTGATATGTTCGAGCCGTGCATGTATTGGATCAGTCCAGTGTGTATCGTAATTGTTTGGTACACGATGATCACGCATACTATTGTATTGGTAATACATGGTATTGATTGAATACGCATCACGTAGCTCAATCATGGTATGCATTGTTTGAATCCATCACTGTATATCTGAATGATCATGTCGATACTGGATGCGCGATATCAACTGTTTGAATATGGTATACTGCTGCAAATACCATGATTATTACATTCCATTAGTATGTGTGATTATATTACACCAATCGACCAGTATACGATCATTGGATACATCAACATGTGCATAATGACCATATTGTTGGCATTGTATATTCAACATGTGATATTTGACACACGACAAAGTTGATACTGCGACTGATGTGTGTGATCAGTCAGGCTATTGATGCAACCATTTTTACACCACAATCAACGAGTCAAACCAGTCAAATTGGTCGGATCTGATATCAACACACATGACTGTTGTTGGTATTAGTGTTGCATGTGCCAATACGACATGACGAGTAATATCATATCGACACAATACACACATGCATGTCAGCATCATCAATGTGTACAACTATGCAATATACAATCAACTGTATTGTATTGTATTGGAAATACAAGTGTCAATGCATACTATGATATTATACCAATCAAGACTGTGTACAATGATCAGATATAATGCATACACATCCAATTTTATTGTAAATTAAATCAGAATGACAATTGAATTGGTTGAAACAAGTCCAGATTAACATTCAAGTCAATCAAATCAATTAGATGGATCGTCACGTTTGGGTCGTCCAAAGAATGATCCAAATCTAGTGATAAACTTGGAGGAAGCTCTCCGCATACTGAAAGTACCCTTCCGATTGAATTTATATTCGGATTCTTCATCCGGTTCTTCATCTGATTCTTCATCTGATGATTCCAAATCTTTGCGTTTTTGTCGACCACCAGATTTTCGATGTTTTCGTCGATCACCAGATTTTCGATGTTTTCGTCGGTCACCAGATTTTCGATGTTTTCGTCGGTCACCAGATTTTTGATCAAGACTCTCGTATTTTGATGATTGCTGTTCAATGTAATTTTTAACGAAAGGCCTTTCTCTGATAAGCAAAAGTTGGTAATTAAATAATGCAAGATCCAGAGGGGTTCCGAAAACGAGACCCACAATCCGTTCATCGATTTCCCACTTTTTTTCTGCAAGACGACCAATCTCAGACTGGCACTCGTCGAAACTTTTTCGAAGTTTGACAAGTTTGGATCTTTGGTCTTCAAGATCAAGCTTAGTCTTCTCAATGTCACCATATTTTGGATTGCCATTGCCTTTTTGAGATTGATATTTCAGAATTTCAAGATCTTTTTCCACGCCCATTAGCACGTCATATTGACTGTCATATCGAGATTCTAACGGCCAATATATTTTGCTTTGCTGATTACGAGCATCCTGTATCTCTGCGTATTTGTCGAGTAAATTCTTGAAGTTATCTGGAAGTGGATCAAGAGCACCCAAGCCTATACCGTCTGGATTAGGAACTATCCAAAGACTATATTCAGTATCTGTAGTTGCACTGGGAATGAATGTTGAAATGCCATCTTCATCATCTGTACTTTCACTGGGATCAACAGGATTGGCAGTAGTAACCGAGCAGGCAAGCAAGATCGATGACAATACAGCAACTGCGAGCTTCATTCTACTGGTTTGGCTGAGCAAGTTGTAATGTCATTCAACAAGTCGGTTTTTGAACTGTATTTATATCCATTATTGAATAAATGATATTAAAAGCATATTCCTTGAATGGTCGTTTCAAGGACTAGTATTACTGTCAGGGTTGATATTGATTTGTTGTCAATGCCAAACTTTGAAGGGATCTCCCTTTATATGTTGACCTGTAACCTTGGTTGAGCTGCTATCTGACCATACATTCGAATATCATATGGTTGGCTATGCAGTCCCACCCTAAAAAGGGTTATGGTCAAGGGTTAGGGTCAAGAAATGAGTATAAACCAAAACTGGAATGAGTTGACACTCGGATATTAGTTGGTCATCAATATGTGCCGTGATATTCCATGTTTGTTAAAATAGCAAGTGATTGGCATGATTCAACGTACAAGTAGTGTATAATGAATATCGGATGATACTGTTTTACTTGAACAAGAGTGCTAAATCCGTTGAAATAAATATAATTTAGTCGTCTATTTCTGTACTACATTTTACACCCTCATTGTTATGTTGAAGCAATCAGACATTGGCCGTTTACGTATAGTTTGAATGGTTAGTGTGTATCTGGTGTAATATCCAAGCAAGATATCTAAGCTTCAACCCTTAACAAGCAAGCATTAGTACTTGCATTGGACACTCCCTAATTTATCATTTCCTCATTATCTCCATTATCTCCCTTATGTTTCAATACCACCACTCTTACTTTTCAAAAAACCCAGCGTTACCAATATTTTCTATAGCAGCATATTATATTATATTATTACTTGTTGAAAGACTCGGTAATTTTTGTCTATCTTGTATACTCTACTTTTTCGATACACCTAAATCCTTTAACATGCTACACAATATCAAATGTATACAAAAAACAGCTGGAAATGGAATGTGTTTGTAGAAATAGAAAACATCATACACAAGATGACAGCAGTATTGCGTACATACAAATCAAAGTATGCTATCATGATTGTCAACGGATTGATTGAAAACAACTTTATATCCAACTTGCCCATCAACAACCAACAACTCTGTTGGAGTTTTGTGTAATCTGATTTATATTAGTTTAAATGGAGGTGTGTGTGTATGATCTGTAACTGTTAGTAGTTGACAGAAAATAACAAATCAAAAGTGTAATGGGTGTTGCACAATAATTCAGGATCAGCAGGCTTGGGGTTTTCAATGATAATGAAAATATGTAATAAAACAATAATATGTTGAAATGGTTGGAAGAGTCATTTATTAATAAATATGAGTTATAGTCAATCTTGTAGTAATTGATTGATTGTATCTTGGTGACACAAACAAGTAGAATGTATGATGAGCAATCAGAAAAGTAAATTGATCAATAGGTGTAATTCATATTGTTTACCAAGTCAAATAGTGGAATTATGGCACACAAACATTGGTGATACGAGTCCCTTGGATCATCACATATTACCATTTAGTATTCTGCATGGATACTCGACACATTTGGTAGTCATACATTGTATGGTCACCAAGTTTGAACCCACATTCATGTATTGTGTTTGACTGTCAATATTGTCAATACAACTCTGTACACACATTTGTTGTATTCTGAATCACGGATACGATCGCAATCTAGTTCAACAACAATCATGGCACATGTCAGTAATGCAACCATGCATGCCAATCACCACCAACAACACCACTGTATTGTCAATCAGTCCATGACACTGACTGTTTATTACACACTGACACTGTTAGTGTTCCGTTTACATGACTAGACTGCAAGTTGTCGTATTCGTTTCTGTAGATTTGAAATTGTTAGTAATCGAGTTTTGACATTCAATTCGTGCTGTTTTTGTATATTTTTGTATATTGCTGGACATTCAACTCAACGTCTTGTTCCAAAGTAGACATGTTTTTGATGTCATGTTTGTATAATCGAAACAGGAATCCAGTTTGCCAAGTAAACGCTGCAAGACTCTTGACAACCAGTCATGTACAGTATTGAGTCGGATGTTCATACTATTGATAGCATGACAATTGACAGTTCAAGAGTTATGTTGAAGCTTTTCTAATCATTGGCAATACTTTGAGTTTGCGTATTGAAAGTATTACAGTTGGCATAAAGTATTGATACTGCTGATATGACCATCAATCCATACTGCATTGAACAGGACTGCAACACAGTATCATATCACTAGATCAAGTGTTGAAGCAGCCGTTTGAAGGATTTTACCACTAATATTTGACCAGCTGTTGTGTGGATAAACCGTTACCCTATACTGACCGTAACCTGAAACTGAATGATTATGCAACTCATTTCAATATATTCTTTAGTAAATGGGTCAGGGTTAGCAACCCTTGACTATGAGTCCTGTTTCATTCAATGGCTGAAGAGTTGTGCATAAAACAGCCTACACATGAGTATCTGTGCTACATATACCTAAATGGCGGTCGAGTTGTTGCTGCATAAGCTCATATAACCCTTATGTCTTGATTATATATTTAACCACCATAAAAGCATGGTTCATATCCACAACTGGCTCATTCATTATCAAGAATTGTCCTACTAGTTGACAAGCTTTATCACATTTATTCTCGTCGACAGGATGAAATTCATATCGACTATTGTGTTGTTGCTATTGTCGGTGACAGTCAGTGCAGTAGTCATTGATCGTCCGTATGCCATCGAATCAGAACCTGTAAAAGAATGTTCAACACACATGCAGCAACACACTGGTATTTGCGCTTCAACTGGAACAGAACAACAATCTATTGAAACCAATCATGATGTAGCTCAGTCGACTATAGATCCCGATGATTCAGACAGTTCTGTTGAAGAGTCCGATGAATCATCGTCATACTCTGAGTCCAAACAGTCAGACGATGATATATTTGACAACACACTATATGACGACGTCTGCCATCTTCCTAAAAACTATATCCCAGAGAACAAACGGCCCATTCTCACACATCAGCAAAGGCTGGATAGAGTCGAAAAAATAATGAAGAATATGGGTATGGAAATTCCAACTGATGTTGGAGACGGATATCCGCACAAGATGAGCACCAAGGCAAAGGAAAGAATACTAGAAACTAAACGAAGAGGGTATGGGCGTAGAATGAGCTCATCTGATAAAAAGAAATTCAGGAAACTGAGACTAGGAAGATTATGGGTGTGTCGCAAGTTGGCTCTTGAACCTCTTGAAGAAGAATCAATCAGAGTTGTATCTGAACCTACTCCAGAATTAAAATCCATCTTGAAACCCGGATCCACTTTTAAACCCCACGGCTCAAAACACGATCATTCTAAAAAACATCAGCAAAAGTCAAGTCACGATGCTGGTTCAAGGGAAGCTAAAGTACACTTTGTACCAACGACTAAAATTGCTAGATATTCAAGTGAATCTAGTGTACTGCAAGAATATGATATTCAACTTCCTTCATTACGTTCAAAGTTTAATAGATTCAAACGACAGATGCTGAGGTTCATTGGATATAGAAGGCATACTTGAACATTTCTACGCAAACCACCATAACTAAAAGTGTATAGTAAATCAATGTTTGGACACTCGACTGTTTGGTAATTCAATTTCATTGTAAAACTGGAATCACGCTATCAACAACCTTGTTTAGAATATGTTGTACTGCAGTGTGTATTGTATGGTCTATACTGTCAATTTGCATTTGTCATGTAAGCATTCAGTCTTGTTTGTCCAATAAACACCTTGCATTGTCACCACCATTTCCAATGTAATAGTATGCTTGAATTGATCATATTGCACCAATCAGCTACTGTGCACTGAATGTATCAGATGGTGTCATGAAATGGTGGATAATATTCATAATTGAAGTATTGGCAGTCAGTGATTGCATAATCAATTGTATACCGCTGATCACTTTGTTGGTGACCAGTATCACATGTGGTCAATACCAATATGTTGCACAACAGTCATTTAAACAGGTTGGAGCATGTCACGTAGCAATGCAATCAAATTGGTACAACACATGTCAACATACATGCACTGTAGTGTATTGTAGTATACACTAGTAGTGATGATTCAACCAACGACATGCGTGGTTGTAATATTATACGTGAAACCACATGCTCATGATTGTGGTTGTGATTATGGTGACATACAGCGTTACAATGATGGGTCAGCAACAATGTGATGGAACTGGATGTGCAATATCAAAACCATGTCCAGAATACGTGATATAACGACAACTTGCAGCCATATTGATGTAAATGGACCACTGAATAACAGTGTTGGTGTGATAAACAACAGTTGCATTACTGACATGTGTCATCATTGTTGTTGAACTAGACTGTGATCGTATCCGAGATTCAGAATACAACAAATGTGTGTACAGAGTTGTATTGACAACATTGACAGTCAAACACAATACATGAATATGGGTTCAAACTTGGTGATCGTGCAATGTATGATTACTAAGAGTGTACAAAAGTGTAGATTCAACACTATAGTCTGACTGTGTCATGATGATGGTTGTTGTATATCAAACACGCAATTGCAGTCAATGTGTAGTAACCATTGTATATTGCAATGCAGAACACAATCACTGCATGATGAATATCAAAGTGATCCATTATACATGAATAAGGTTGTAAAACAAAGCGTTTGTGGCTGCACAACACTCCTGAAGGGTGATTTTCAATATACCTGATCAAAGGGTCGTAAAAGCATAATTCAATCGACATGAACATCAAATCGATCAATATGATATTATGGATAGGGAGCATTATACTATGGTTTGATAGTAAACCGCTACAAGCAATCAAGTAACCCTGTGTCGTTGGTTAACCTAAAAGGGTTAGGGTTGGTTTAATATACAAAAATACAAATACATTCAACTTTATAATCGACACCAATCTCGACACTACTTGTATTAATCGTTTGAACCCATTGACTAATCTGATGAAATTGGTTGATATTTTATTCGTACTGACCGCGGCAGCAACTGCCAATGCAATATTGATACCGACTGATAACGATGGCTCACTTCATGCATCAAGCACTTCCAGTCAAGTGTCTGGCCCAACCAGTGAACCTAGTCCAGACACTTTCGATCAAAAATGGCAAGACATAATGGATGAGCTTGATTTAAACATTTTCAGTCAAGATCAACAACAACCAATAGATCAATCCAGTCCAGACACTTTCAACCAAGTGTCTGGTTCAGCCAATGAGCCTAATTCAGAAATTCCCGACCAAGACTGGCAAGATATAATGGATATAATTAATTCAAGCACTTCCAACCAAAATCAACAACAATCAATTGATGAACTTGATCCAAGTACTTCCAATCAAGACCAGCAACAACCAATTGATCAACCCAGTCAAAGCACTCCCAAACGAAGTCGAAAACGACCAATTGATGAACCCGGTTCAAACATTTCCAAATATGATCAGAAACAATCGATGAATCAACCCGGTCCGAGTGCTTCCAAACAAGGTCGGAAACAATCAATTGATGAACCCGGTCCAGGCATTCCCGACAAAAACTGGCAGCGCTTAATAGATGAAGTCAATTCAGACACTTTTGAAGACTGGCGAGAACTGTTTGATATAGTTGATCAAAGTACTTCCAACCAAAACAAACAACAATCAACGGATGAACTTGATCCAAGTATTTTTGACGAAAACTGGATAGACCTATTTGATATAGCTGATTCAAGCACTTCCAACCAAGTTTCTGGTCCAACTAATGAGCCTAATCCAGATATTTCCAATCAAACCCAGCAACAACCAATTGATGTAGTTGATCCAGGCACTTACAATCAAGACCAACACCAACCGACGGACGAGAGCGAGTCAGATAATACTGTTCCAAATCAAGTGACTGGATTAAGCCAAAGATATCAAAAAACCTTTGATGGTATAAATCGAAGACTTGTAACATCTAAAGTAATACGAAAGAAAAAATACAAAGAATATCATGAATATATAGCTCTTGGATTGAAACAACGGTTAGCATTGTCAAGCGAAGAAACGTCTGAATTAGGGTACAGCCCAAAAACTGAAATACGATTGAAACATGAGCATTTAGTGGCAAGGAAAAAAGTAAACAGTATCAGACAACAATTAAGAAAGTTTGTGAAAAAGCGTGGTTTAGAATTTCAAGAGCCGGACTCAGATTCAGATTGATGACTTGCCAATCAATTTGATTTTGAATAAATTTAAACTTTTTGATGTGTTGATGTTTGTTGAACATTGTGAATGAGTCAACAACCATATCATTGATTGCATACTGCATGTTTGTGTATACTGTGTTGGGTATTATATCAATTGTAGATCGTGGACATATGATGGCATATTGATGGTTGTCATTATTGTCAAGTGTGCTGCAGTTGATTGAAGATGTGAAGGAATGAATCAATATTTGATTGTGTTGTTTATTAACAAAAAAGTGAGTGTGTTCATAAAATGGAAGAAACCAAGAAAGTCATGTGAATTCCAGTTCAAACGTCATTGTTGATGGTTTTTGATTGTTAAACTATTCAGAAATGTCTCACACTCTCACACTAGTAATGTCTCACAGTATTTGGTGTGTTGGGTGATGATATCAACCTGTAGTCAAGGTTTGACTATCTGAACATGTCGGTGACTTTTTACCAACTGTGTGCAACTCGATGTCCAATATCGAGTCATGTCATTGGTCAATTGATTGGTTCAATTCATCAGTGGGTTTGCTGGATTCATGTGGTGTGCAGCACTTTCAAGAGTATGTTGATTCTGTTGCAGTATTGGAACTTTGTAAACGGATCAACATACTAACCTGACCATGATTGTGGTGGTTATTGCAGTCGAATCTTAAAGCTTATTCTGACAATCATTGATGGTTTGGACAATTATTTGAATAATCGTTTGGATGTCAGGTTATGGTATCCTGATTGACAACTCGACTCGGATACAACTTATTTGGACAATTACTGATCGATGGATTGGTCAATGAACTAGGAATCAATCAACACATTGACAGATTGTCATCCCAAATGGAAACAACGACAATCCAGTTGTAATCCATATTGAGTCTTGAATTCAAACAGTCGTGAATCAAATCATTAATAAACTACAAAAACAGTCCAATATGCCAACTCGCATTTATCCACAGCTCGATATGTGATGTTCAAATGTCTAATATTCAGACTGTGTTGATTGCAATTGTGGTTACAATTGTGGTTGTGTGTAAATATCAATCCAATACTCGATTCAATACTTGATTCAACTTGAGCATGTCCAGTTTTGTAGTAATCCATTTGATCACATTGACAGAATCAAGCAATGATCTGATTCAACAACACCGAATGATGCATTCATATCACTTGTATCAATCAATTGTACACAATCAGTCAATATAATCAACAATCACTGTCATGATTGACATGATTGATTCAATTCATTTAATTGCACGAATATGACTGGCATTGCAACTCATTGTTGTAAAATCACAACCTCACAATCAATCACCAACGATCAAGATTATACGCCTGCTCATATATCTCTTCGTTGTATGCCGCTGTGATTTGAGTTCGGTCACTTGTCAATTCATCTCGATAGTGTTTGGCTTCAGCTGGTGATTGAACACCTTGAATATACTGCGTGGCATCATTCCATAGTTCAGGCAGTATGGGTGTCTTGTCAAAACTCGAGTTGTACCATTGTGGTTGTTGTGGAGCCACATGCGCAGTCGAAACAATCCGACAGACTGAATTCACTACAAAAAATGTCAAAATCTTGCAGTGTCCTGATTGAGCTGGATCTGCAAGTTCAAATGATTGTTCTTTGTGTTGGTATCGATTGGGATAAACTACACACCGACCATTTGGTAATTCAAGCGATCCTATATACTGATTGCGTCGTGATTCTTGATCAATGCCGTACACATCTTTCCAATACATATCAGATGCTCCTTGATAATGACACCAACTAACAGCCTCGCGGAAATCGAGTTTGGGTGTGGTGATATTTTCCACATCGTAGTAATACAGTCCAATTGCAACAATCGATTCGTTAATTGGACCTTCATTGTGCCAGTTTTTCTTTTTGTATTTAGGTTTGGATGGTGTCAGTTGAATGTTGGTGAGTTTGACAATGACTTGTAGATTACGACCACGCAGTGATACTGGCTTTGCTGATTCATATTTGGGTTCAAAATGTTCCGGAAGTGTTGGTACATACACGGGACGAATGACTCGAGTGTCTGATTCCATATCATCATGATCTGACTGGCTTGATGACTCATATCCCTGTATGCCATTACGAAGATCAATATACTTGAACATTGGATCCATCGTTCTGAACAGACTTTCAAACATTGGGACAAAACATTTGAATATTTTGGCAATGCATTTGTACATATCTCGATGCCATATCGGATTCAGATTGTTGATGTATGAGTTGATGGTCACACTGCCATCCTGTTTGACACATAATTCACTCGGAAGACATTGGAATTTGGATGATATAAACTCGGAATCACCTTCAATGATGGGCGTATCTGAAACAAGTCGAGTCGATAACAATATATCGCATGGTACCATTGTGGTGTATTTGAGTCGTATACTCAGTGGTGCAATCATCGTTTGTCCATATACAACACTGTACATTGATGCATCAATCAGATTGTGCACCATTTGACCAGTGTTGTGATTTGATCCATGTTCAAGATCCGATACATTTGTCATCAATCGCGTATGTACATTGTCAGGTATGCCATTGTCCAGTATATACGTCAGTTCAACAGGTCCTGGTACAATTGTGCCAAATCCATCACTGCCATTACAAACAAGCTGTTTGACAAAAACCTCGAGTTGTTCCAATGCAAGATTAAATGTTGATGACAATATATTCTGATCGAGTGAGTCAGCCCTCCATTGCTCCACAATATGCTGGTTTGTGATATCGATCCACCACATGGGTTTGCAAAGTATAGATTGCAGATACTGGATATACCGCATCTCGACAAGTGTGCGTGCATTTCCAAGTACATATCCGGCCATTCCAGATTTCATATCAATTTCGGCATTGTCGTTGTATGGCCAAATATCCGAATTAGCAACATGAACCCGATGCTGGAAAAACGTTTCAATGATCCGGCCAGCAACCCTTTTGTTTCTGTAGTCAGCAGTATCCGATTTTACAATAGCCGTTAGATTTTCAAATATCCCGCCTTGTTCCAACTTGGTACGTATTGAACTGTCGGAATGATTGTCGGCAAAATCAACAAGTGTTTTGAGTAGTTTTACAATACCAAAACAGCCATACAAATTTACATCTCTACGTGAATAAATAGTGTTGAGTTGCTTTACAATTCCATATTCTCGAAACACCTTGATCATCTCGTCCTTGTTTGTAGATTTCTCAATCATGTCGTTGACATTATTAAACAGACGCAAAGGATCATTCATATCGACATCACACATCGATATCGTCAATTGCTCAAAAACCAACGATCGTACAAGCGATACAGGAAAATTGCGCATTTTGGATGCAGCTGTTCCAGCTATCCAGATTATGCGTGTTTTTAGTTCAGAGTTGTTGCTGTATCTGATACACAAGTCGTTCAGTGTTTGATCAAATCCAGCCTTATCAACTCGGCTGAAATCACTTCACAATCTGCGCGGTTGCAAAAAATCTGAATAGCACCGGTACTTTCATAAATCACTGCTTGATCGACCCTCCTATATTCATGTCATGTCAATCCAACCATGTCAAATCTACTAATTGTGATGACTGGACACACATTCATGCATAACACCACATACCTGAGCGTATTGACTATTGCTGGAATGATGCCACATTCCGCTGCTTTTACTGGGTCATGACGATGAATACTCCGATACATGGTTTGAAGATTTTTGATAAACCCAACAGCAACTAGACCATTGGATGATTCCAGTCGTGAAACAAGTCTTGACAACACGATGCCAAACTAATGATATTGTTTAATGTCAAGTATACAATCAGATCAACATGACAAGACATGACACTGTCCAAACTGATCCAATATTGTATCATTGTAAACATACATTTCCATCATCAATATCATGACAAACTTGCAAGAACAGGTCAATTGCCAATCTGAGCACTTCTCGATCAGATTCGTGAACAATAATATCAACCATTGGCTTGATGTCAAATCCATCCTCTTGACTCCAGCGTCCATAACCGAACAACTGTGTATATGCGTTTATCGCCTATATGCATATTGACACTAGATGAGTTGAATGTCAATCATTTGATCAATATCAATCATGACTTGCCGCCATTTTGACTTGACAGTTTGGTGATTGCATGAGTTGTGCAAGTTGGCTGCTTAGTCGATGAGATACTTTGAACTGATCATCATAGTACACCACAATCGCAAATACTTTAGTAAACTCCATTACTTTGATCTACACAACACATGTTGATTAGTTTAGTCATGAACAACAATCCATTATTGTTACAATATATGAATACCTGTAAACTGGGTCGATTATACTCCAAATAATCGGTTATGATATCTTGCAGTCCAATACTCTGTAAGCGCTGCACTACATATGTATATCATGCCATTTCAAACCAACACAAAGTCAGAAATGGTTTGAATTCATCGATAATCCAACTGCTATTAAACTTACTGCAGTTATGTTGTTTCAACTCCATTAGCAATACAAGCAGTCTGTCCCATATTTCATCAGCCTTGTATATTTGAGCATCTGTTGTTAATAGTTTCAAATCTTCCATGTGTTGGATAAACTCTTTCATAACATCATCCAACTCCATGTTTGATAAAATTAGTAAAGTTGAATTTTGATTTGACAATTTCATTCATGCGAATATTCAACAATTGCCGAGAATTGTTTATGTTTGGATTGTTGTAAAACACACAAACGAGTTGTTCCATTTTAGTATTGTTTTGATCAGTTTTTTGTAACAAAATTGGATTGTTATCAAACATGCATTTAGAAATACTGTAAATTAATATTCTGAATGTGATCGTTGTAGATTTGGTTCAATAAACAAGTTAGTTTACTACAACACATGGTAATGAATTACTAAACATCATCATAAATCAGATAAAATGAAATGAGATCAATTACAATCGCATTACAAACAGTGTGGTGATTAAACCATCGAGTATTTTCAAATACAAACTTGAATGAAAAGTCTTGCCACAATACTGATCAACTGTATTACTGTTTACACTGTGGTATTATTGATGTATTGGAATATTTGGTGTTCAGATACACAATGATAATAGTAGTACAACTCATGGCAGTTGTATAAACCAAATGTGATTAAAGCCAATAATAATGTCAGACAAGATTGGATAATGAAGTAGCGTGTAAATCATCAACATTGACCAAGATTGATTGAAATGATGAGATTGAGTTGGATGGTGATAAACAGTCAGTGTCATGAACACTGTTATTCAGTGGTCCATTCGACGTCAATACGTCAATACGACACTACCAATACCACACCACATACATTACATTCCAAACTCATACAATACAACACTAGTTGACCAATATCAAACCAGTTGATGTTGCAATCTAACCCTGACTTTCAACAAGTGTATTGCTCCGTTTGTTGTACAATACACGACATGATCAGTTGGTGATATCATGCAATTGACAAGTGATTACATGTACAATCAACACTGGTTGTTATTATGTCATTGATGTATATGGAACAAACCATGTCAATGTATCAATCAACAATCCAATAACTGTTGATGTAATACACAACGCAGTATACAATCAATGATATGATTGTTGACCCATTCACAATACTCGATAAATACCAACACATCAGAAAGTTTAAATTTATTCAAAATCAAATTCATCAATCCGAATTTGAATCTGAACTTGGTTCTTCAAATTCCAAACCATGCTTTGCCATAAACTTTTTCAAATCTCGTCTCATACCGTATACTCTCATGCTTAACTTTCTACACTCTTGTTTCAATCGTATTTCATCGTCTGGATTGTGCATTGGTTCGGATATCTCTTTTCCCCTTTTTAATGCTAACCATTGTTCCAGTCCAAGGGCTGCATAATCACGATATTCTTTGAGTTTTTTCATTTGTACTATTTTAGACTCGACAAGTCTTTGTTTCATACCATTGAGGATTATCTGATATTTTCGGCTTAATCCAGTTACTTGATTTGTAACAGTATTGCCTGACCTGTCATGGTTGACTGGTTGTTGCTGGTCTTGACTGGAAGTATCTGGATTAGGCTCATCAGTCGGTTGTTTTCGACCTCGTTTGGCAGACTTGCCTTGGTTTATTGGTTGTTGCTGGTCTTGACTGGAAGTGTCTGGACCAGCTACATCAATTGGCCGTTTTCGACCTCGTTTGGAAGTGCTCGGACCAGCTACATCAATTGATTGTTGCTGGTATTTTTTGGAATTTTTTGAATTGACTGCAACAATTATTTCTCGCCAGTTTTTAGGAGTCCTTGAACCGATTTCACTCATGAGTTTCCAATATTCTCCAGAAGTGTTTGAACTGGGTTGGTCCGTTGGTTGTTGCTGATCTTGGTTGGAAGTACTTTGACTGGACTGACCAATTGATTGTTTCTGGTCTTGGTCATAATTTTTCGAAATGACTGCATCAATTATGTTTTGCAAATCTTTAGGAGTCCCTGAACTGATTTCACTCATGAGTTTCCAATATTCGCCAGAAGTGTTTGAACTGGGTTGGTTCGTTGGTTGTTGCTGGTCTTGATTGGAAGTACTTGGACCCAGTTCATCTATTGATTGTTGTTGATTTTGGCTGGAAGTGCTTGAATTAATTATATCCATTATTTCTTGCCAGTCTTCGTCGGGAATCTCTGGAATAGGTTCATCAGTTGGGCCAGATACTTGGTTGAAAGTGTCTGATGCTTGGGGTGAATCATCGTTATCAGTCGGGATTAGTATTGCATTGGCGGTTGCTGCCGCAGTCAATACGAATAGAATATCAACCAATTTCATCAAACCAATCAATGGGTTTAAACTATCAATACAAAGTAGAGTGTCGAGACTGGTGTCGATTATAAAGTTGAACATACTCGATTGTATTTATATGTTTTGTATAGCAAACCAACCCTAACCCTTTTAGGTTAACCAATTATACAGGGCTATTTGATTGCTTGTAGTGGGTCACTATCAAACTAGACAGTATGCTGCTCCCTAGCCATAATATCATATTGATCAATTTGATGATCGTGTCGATTGAATTATGCTTTTACGACCCTTTGATCAGGTATTTTGAAAAGCGCACCCTTCATGAGTGTTGTTTAACCGCAAACGCTTTGCTTTACAACCGTATTCATGTCAAATGGTTCACTCCAGTATTCATCCTGCAATGACTGTATTCTGCATTGCAATATACAATGGTTACTACACATTGACTGCATTGCATGTTTGATTATAACAACCATCATATGACACACAGTCAAACTATAGTGTTGAATCTACACTTTGTGCACTCTTAGTAATCATACATTATACGATCACCAAGTTTGAACCCATATCCATATATTGTGTTGGACTGTCAATGTTGTCAATACAACTCTGTACACACATTTGTTGATGATATTCATGACCAAACTGTAACAATGTGCACTTTGCATTGAGTTTGAACTGCAATCTGCGACTTGTACGCATTATGATGCATTGTTTCAATATTCATGTTGCATTCATCAACATCAACGTGCAGTGTCGATCTGATGTTTGGTGTTGATGTTGTGTTGATATTCCAACAACACTGAATATCCCAAATCAGGTCAGCATTGACTCGTGTGATAATAATCCATGGATAATCGGTTGTACCAAACTGTTGTACAAACATATTGACATTCGATCGATTGGAGCAACAATCAATCACTCCAATGTGTTGCTGGATATACAAACTATAACACACATGGTGACTGTTTATGTAACACATGTCGTAACACAACATTGAATCAATCAAACTGCAATTACACACTCCATCATATGTCGCATGTGTTGGCATGTCAAGTGTGGTGATATCAGGTCAAAACAGTCGATTGGCATAGTAATCCATCAACATTCGAGTCGGTTGGTCAGCCAAACAGTTGTATCATGTGGTAATATCAATATACTGCGATTGTAGCATGTCATTCATCAGATATTGTTGAAACCATTACAAAACCTGTTTGGACCAAATCAAACTGTGACGAATACCGCATACTCGGATCATCATCAACCAAACCAGGAATACACGCTTTGACAACTACATTCGATACCAGTGTAATGCGACAGCACATGGATAGTCATTTCAATGTGTTTGATACTCGCATCAATTCGCTGCTGCCATATAAATGATCAACCTGACAAAGATATGCGTGTCTTGATGTCATAACCTGTACATAGAATCACGATAACAGCCATTGATGTCAGTCAAATCAAGTCAATCTGTGTATATATATCAACTATAAAGTATTGGCAGTCTCGACCAAACTGTGTGATTTGTTGAAAACCAGCAATATCTTGATATATCGACATCACACATTGATAATAGTATCACAATATCACATGGTTTCAAGTAGTTCAAACCAGTCAATATGCCGTCTGATTCGAGTCCAGCAGCACAGTACATCAAGTCCATACTACAGATTCGCATTTGTTGCACATCATATATTGTTGAATCCACTTTCGATAATAGTTCTGGTCATGATCGTACACCAAAAACATCAAACTGACCATCAGTGTCAATAGATTGTTGATGCGGTGTTGATGGACGATAACCCAGACCCAAATAGTCTAGCATGTTGCGATTCGTCAAATATAACCCGATCATTGTCTCGACTGTTGGTACACCTTATCGGACGCATACCAAGTATCATCAGATGGCTGCACAATGATTTCAGACAAATTCGCACCAGTTTATCTGCTTGTTTGAATACACTGCTGTTTAAAACGTCCACATTGTGGTTTTACGAATTGTTATCAGAACAAGCGGACACACATTACGCACTGGATCAGTCTTTTAGATTGGTGTTGACAGTATGTTTGACTGCGTCTTTTTGTCATGAACCAACATTGCCAACTTGTCAATCATTGCATTCAAATCGGGATTGGGATCAAAATCAGGTCGATAAAACAGTCAAATACACAATATCGACACAAACCATAGCAGGTTGTTGTTCACATGCACTGACACCAATCATGACAATATTGTGTAGTTGTCAGTCTGTCGATTGACATTTTGATGCTGATTTGTATGTTGCCAGAATAGACTTTTGAATACAAAACATTAGGGATTGTGTCAATGTCTTTGATGTCGATGTTCATGATGGTTTGATCCAGATGAATAGTTTTGATTGAATGTTGGACACACAACAGTTGTGTTCATCATACAAGTGTATCGACTGGACAAGGTTCACAAGAGTGGTTTGTAAAGTGAGTTCATGTCCATTACAGTGTCTAGTGTTGATGATACAGAGTTTGACCAGGCATAATGTGTTGGATTTGATGAGTAGATCAGTTCCAGTGGTTTGATCTAGTCCAAGAACAGCAATGGAGTTCCAAGAGTTGTAGCTGGTTTCCATCCTATCCACTACAGAATAGAGAGTGGATGGAATAGAGACCAACTACAACTCCTGGGATCCCATTACCATTATTAGAAACAATGCGACCATTGAGATCAACCCATTCAACTCACTCATCGAATCAAACAATAATACTGGGCAAAGTGTCGTCAAAAGCATTACAGTAACAAGACTCGATAGCTTGTTATCAAACACTCTGCTGGATGTTGAGACTCTTTCAAACTACTGGCACTAGAACAAACCATCCCAAAACACAATTGTATGTGGAAATGAAAAGACTTTACAGCAGACTCGGCAAAGTACGAATATCACACAACTTCCATTGGAGATGGTGTTGCTTTGCATACTACAGCAGGAATTACATTCACACTTGAAAGTAATGTTGATGCATTAAACATATTCTTTACAACTTCAACTGAATATTTCAAGACCAAGAAGATTATTACCAATCTGAAGCAAGGCTAGTGTTTTCCCTTGTACGCTTGAAACAGCAACTCAAGTGGAGAGTCATCTCGAGTTTATTGGAGCTTCGGACAATGTTCTTGCTCTTGATCCAAAGTCTTGTCGTTTATTGAAAGCAAGACTCGAATGATCTGCCTGTTCGTCATTCTGTAAATGGACAACCATTTGACTTGTAAAGGTGTATCAAGAGGATACACAGTGCCAACCAACAGAAATGACTTGTGGAGATATTGGACATATGGATGTGCACAGTGATTGACCAAGTTTATGGATATCTCGCTTTGAACAATCTGATCTATGAATGTGTGACTTGTTATGTTACCTATTTGGTTTGGCAACCTGTCAGAGATACTCTGCGTATCAGCCATTCCATTTACAACGATCTGTGTTCTCCTAGTCGTATTCAGGCAATCTATTTGTTCAACTTGTTTTACAAGACCATCAAACTGAACAGCAGAAATTAGACTCCAGTTCAACAGACTCTGACAGTAATGATTCAAGCACAATCAAGTATAATCTGAATGTGGACTCACTTTGTTCTGGTACTGTGATTGGATTTGGAGCAACTGGTCAAGTCATTCGACTCAATGACTGCAACATTGTTGTCAAACATTGTGATTCCTACAACAATCTTGATGCATTCAAAATGCTAATCAAATATCAATTTACGAAAAGCTCGCCAAACTCAATCTACAATATGTTGCACGCTATTATGGAGAATGTGAGTATTACGGACAGTATTTCACTTGATTGGTTTGGACTTTATTCCTGGAAAACACTGTGACTGGAGAACAGACAATGAGTTGGATTGGATTATTTGACACTTGTAATCGGTTGGTGTAGTTCATGAGGACTTGAGACCAGGAAACATGATTTTAACTGGTCAAGGGAATATCAAATTGATCGACTTTGGCAAGACGCAGATCAAGACTTGCGTCACGAATTGATGGTTTATCAACCAAGCAGAATCCAAGACTTGTCCAGTAAAAACACAACCATACTGACCTTTTATTGACTACCCATTGACTACTCACATAATCAAATGTTTGCAAATCTGATGTTCAAGTCTTTCAATTTCTGGAAATGTTCAAGCATATTCAAGAGTTTAAACATTCCATGAGATTGTCGACTAGAATGTGTTTATTGTTAAACTAATAAAAACGCAAATGCAACTCGTTTGTTTGCTAATTGACAATCTGCTTTTATAGTTGTTGTGAACTCATGAGACACAAATACAAACCGACTTTGGTATCAGGCTTAATTAAAAGTGTCATTAAGCATCAATCGCATGGCCAGTTCCATTCAAAGATTGACACTGGACATTGGTTAGACTTGACATTTGCATACATGAGTTCAAGACACATGATGCTTGAATATCAGTGGTGATATTTGACAAAAATGGTCATTTTCAATTCTAAACCAAAATGGTTCATTTCAGTATTGAGAATACTTGGAATCTTACAATAAACATTTCAAACATGACCTTGTACCAAATATCACTGATCATCCGTTGG